TATTTCGGGTGGATCAGAAGAATCCTTGAATTAGCTTCTGTAAAATGAAGGATTTTGTGTAAGACTGCATCTTGGGAATCTCTCATTCAATTTTCCCCAAATACATATTATATACTATCTAGTATTCTTTAAATGGAAAGTAGTTTTCAGGCAAATGCAAGTGGGGAAACTTCATGGCAATTGGAATAACCTGCCTTTAAACAAAGCAATATTCACTCTCACTTTCCCCCAAACGTGTGCTCTGCTACAAGGCCCTAGAACCACAGAGCAGGCAAACTCTCATTTTTCAGTTTCATATATTAAGATGAAATTATTTGCTATAAATTTCCCATGTTGCTTTATTTCCTCTATATCTACTTCACACTTCTCAAAAATGAGCACATTTGACTATGTGTGTAGCTCTTCCCTAAAACTTCACTGCTGAACACCACTATGCTGACCTCTGATTCCCATATGCAACAAGAAGTGATGTATATAGTTAGCTATACCTCTAGTTACACTATTTTATGGTAGCCAGAGATTTAAATTTAGCAATTCATGCTTCTGTCTCCTTCAGGCTAAAATTCTGTTGCACGCACAAACTGTGGTTTGCTCTGAGGGTCATCAAGAATGTAAGATTAGGAGAAACAGCCAGCCAGCTACCTTCTAAGCACAGATGAATGACAAAATCATATCACTATTGCATTTTAAACCAGTGTTTGCTAACAATTCCAGAGAGTTGTAAGGTTTAATTTACAAATTAAAGAGTAAACATGTTTCTTCAGACAAGGAAAAAGAAGCAGAACCAAATAATAATGCTGTAGGCATCATTGTTGTCTGAGCTATCATTTTGACATCCAAAGACCAGGCAGGGTATACTCTGGGATGGCTCAAACACTCATCCTAGATAAATCATGACAAGGAACTTTACTGTGTTGAAAGGAAACTTTGGTTTGATTCCTATTAACATTTAACAACATAGAATGATTTTATTTACAAAAATGTTTCCCTTCAAAATGAAGGAATCAATGTATGCCTTAAAATTGGCTTTAAAATTGACTGACCTTTGGGACAAGAACCACATTCTAATGACAGTAAGACCTGTGCATTAATTGTAATAATGAAATCTTTTAAATGCAGCAGTGCTTTTAAAAGCATAAATTTATGTTAGTTAGTATAACAGTTTTATGTAAAATATTCTGATATCTGCATACACTCATGATGATTAAAATGTCACACAGAACTATTAGGAGCATCAGACTTCTGTAGCGTAGTTTTTTCCTGTAACCAATAAGAAACTTGTTCTTAGCACTTTCTAAATAATTTTTTGGATTAAAAAAATCCAAAAAGAAGGTCAACCCATGCAAAGATTGAACAGCCACAGACAGTAGGTCTTAACAACGATCCCCAACTAAATCAAAATATTTTGGTGGTTAATTATGTCTATATAATTATAGAACAAACCACGAGAAACAGCAGATTGCACATGATGAGAAGCATAAGGACACATAACATAAATCTGAAGCAGAAAAATAATGATTAATGTATTGACTTACTGTTGTTATTTATAATCAAACAGGAACAATAACTCCACAATCTACAAAAAGAGTAATTACTGCAGAAGTTTCTCTCACTACAGATTAATATGCATTTCTAAGACAGACTAACCAAATGCTAGTTTGAGACAGTGTATATCAGTAACAAAGATAATCACAGAAAAACTACAGATGTATCGTGGAGCTTCTATATCAGTTTTATATTAAATCCAGGAAAAACATTCATGAAATAATAACTGATCTGTCCCAAAATTGTTGACAAACAATAAAGAGAACATACTGCAGAGTCTCTACATGACACATAGTTTGCTGCCATTAACTGTCCTCTCAACACTGGCCACTGCTGTTCTACAAGAGGAGAGCTCTTCCTATGCAGCAAAGCCAGCCTCCCCATACTCTGAATATGCAGCTCTGCATCTATCACATTAGCACGTCCTTGCAATAAATACTGCAGAAGTCTGGTCTGCTTTAACATTCATTATTAGGGTTACCTAAATATACAAACTGGAGTTTTTTCAGTCTACATACACTTATTTGTAATGGATGCCTTTATTTTAAGGTAAAGATGATTACTAACCTTCCTGACTGCTCCCTCCAGCACCAAAAGAATCACTTAATTCTAACATCCAATAGGTGATATAATTGCAGGAAAACTATACTAATGTGAGTGTGGACATGTCCTTTTTATTCCATCCTCTTGCCTTTTTCACGAGGTTTTCAAACACAGAAGTAACTATTTGAACTTGCTGGGAATGCTGATTACACAACTTCCCCACTTACCATCTATAAGCCCATTAACTTGCATCTGATTAAAACACATTCTTTAAAAGGCATCTAATCCTAAATGGAAAGGATGAAGATAAGGAATTCAGCATCTTCGTGGCAGTTTGTGCCAACAGCCATCCCCCACTGCTGAGAACAGCATGTCCTAGATCTTACAGATTCAACTCTTTTTCCTTTGATGGAAATTTTTTTTAATGAAGTGAAGAAATTGATTTAAGTCTATCACTGTAAGATATTTTCTCCATCTGTTACTGATATTGACTGTATCTCTTCTGCACTTGTTAGTATTTCAAGATACTTTTAAAAACAGAACTGGATATTACATTCAGCTATCAGTTTCACAAACATTCCCCCCCTTGTCTTCATCGTAAACTGACCAAAGTAATGGTAAGGATTTATTACACACACACATATTTATCAGTTTGTCATTGTCTTAGACATTTATCTAGAAGTTCTTGTCAGAATTAGTTTTCTAGGAATTTAGAGGTTTTAGAGGACTTGTTTGTCTCCCTGAAATAAGAACCACCTAAACACCCTAAAAAACCCGCAAATTATAAAGCAATGCAGATCATTTGTCCTCTTTACCAATGATTTGTCACACAATCCAAATGTCACACACTCATTAGTAGTTTCACAGTTGTTCACAGATTGTTATTAAAAATATTTATCATCTTCAGGCTTGTAACTATTTCCTCTTTCCAAAGTGAAGCATCATTAATAACTGCACCCGGAAGTTTGCTTGAAGCAATTTAAAGTTACATCATACAGCATTATTTTTTAAAAATCTGATTGTAGCATGAAGTTGCATAATGACAAATGTCCTTCTCTAAAAAAAGTATTTAACTTTTCTGGCCAGGTTTCTCAGAATTATTTTTTTTTAAGAGGAACTTCTTAAAAGATAATTTTGATACTGATCTGTAATATATTAATACTGATTTTTAAGGATATATACAAGACAAATCTACAAATCTTCATTTTTCTTCAACCTGGCCTCTCTACTTTCCCCTGTGGCATCAACTTCCTTTCAAAAACTCTGTTTTTTTTTTCTTCCAATTTATTCTGTATTCATAGGCTACTAAGGTGAAGATTAGGAATGTGAAAGAGGCAAAAAGGAATCCTGACCCAAAAGCAGCTTGAATCTCTGGAGTGAGTTACAGTGAGCAATAAGGCAGTGATGCACAGGGCAACAGTGCTAAGACAGTCCAAACTGTTACCAAGGAAAAATGAATATAACTCCTTGGAAATAGAATATGAAGATGACTAAGGACAAAAAAAAGTGGGCAATTTAAACAGCTCCATCTCACACCTGCTATAATGTATACTGCAAAAATTTTGTTAGCAGAACCCACAAATAATATGCAGACTGAAGAGAAACAATTGGCAAGGTGCTTTGTACCTTTGAGACTGTTTCACAACAGCAAAGACATCATATCAGAAACTGGTTTTCCATTTCTTGCTCAAACTACTAAAGCAAATCCTAAATCAAACATTGCACTGAGGTGTGTCACACAGTTAAACCAGATTCAGAAACAATATTTTAACAGAATGAAACAAATATGAAACAAAGGAAGATGAGTATTACTTTAGTATAACAGGTAGTATATAAACAAAAATAAGGTAAGTTACATTTATACAATTTTGTCCCAAATAGTGGAAGTATTAGTCTGAAAGCTAAAGAATCTGTGAGTCTTCCTGATACAAATTCTTTTATTCACATGAAAGAACTTAATTTTTATATACAATATCCCATTATATGTACTAGTATTTTTGATTCAGCATTTCAGTATTTAAAATATTGCTATGTGTAAATATCACAAACATTCTCCTGGGGAAATCTCTGTCTCTGTCTCTCTCTCTCTCTCTCTCTCTCTGCATGTTTATATGCATAACCAATGACCATTGTAAAATAATGGCTGTTTCAAACATATGATACATGTACCACTAAACAAGATCAAATATTGCTGAATAAATATTAATTAATAAAATTGCACCAACTTGTAATTTTTTATGCTCAGAAATTATCCGAGCATGTAATGCTTAAAGAGTACTTTTCCCCTTACCATTGTCAAATATCAAGTTTCTTCACAACTCACCCTATATAGCATATATGCTATATATATGCTATATATAAAATAGAGCAGTCCTGAAATATAGTCACTTGCATAACAAATTGAAGTTTTTTAAACGTTTTCTAAACATTTAGATTGGGAAGCAAAGAATGAGAATAAATATATTCCTACACTGACTTAAAATTTCTAAAGGTTGTACACTTGTGTTAAAAATTAATCTGCAATTGATTCTGAAAGTGAACCTCATAATCTAAACAGCTTGCTTTCACTTACAGTGCTGCAACAAGCAGTTGCTATGGTTAACAAGACTTTCACTTCTAGAAGGACTCTAGTGTTTGCTACTGGCAAAAGACTACATGAAAAACATATATTTAGGAAGTCTTGCTAAAACTATAATTCCCTGAATCATAGGGGAAAGTCTTTTAGAAATTGAAGAAGCATGACAACTTACAAATGACAGTTTCCCACTTCACCTAAACTTCCTTCTTACTGAATGAACCTCAAGAAAATTATTTCTCTTAGATCCTGACAACATAAAATTAACCAAATGCCCAGCATTTTCCAGAGATAGATAAAACCCTCCTCTCCAGGTGCAAGAGAAGGTTTCACGTACCATTGACACATTCAAAGACATCACAGCACTTGCCAGGTGTTCCATCTCCACGTGAGACTATCTGGGGAACGGAGCCTGCCTCACACATGGGGAAACCACATAAACCAGTGAGACACTCGCATCTGAAACCAAAGAACAGCAAGGAAAACCCCATAAATAAATGAAGCCACATACAGGATGAAAGAAAAAGCAAGAGAAAAACGGGAAGTTAGAGCACAAGTTCCAGCTTTGGTGTATTCATGTCTTAGAATCGCGTTTTATTAACTCAACAACCAAGACAGCTTATGAACCCGAAAGATTTTTTTGTAACCATCCAAACTCTGTTTGCTGGTCAAGGAAACAAGAAGATGGTACTGTGCAATACCAATGCTGTTCTAGAGCTATATGTAAAATTGTAGAAAATTGTAGTTCAGATTACTTGAAAATAACTGTGTTCTCCAGAGTTGCAAAATTAGGCTTCTCATCCAATTCTATCTGAAAAATCAAAATTGGTGAAACACTAACAGCAGTAATTGCATCTATTCATCAGAATAGTGTGCTCTCATTAGGAAACTATATTATATCCAGTGTTATGTTGGAAAAAATTAAAAGAAATCCAGAGCCATTAAATCTAAGCCAAATAAAAATAACTGCAAGCTCTCTTTTGGGGTTGATGGTGCTGCAGTTTGTGGAAGGGGCAACCAATTACATATGATGCCAAATAATGTAGGAGGCTAGGTATATTGCATACTGTGGTTAGTTTTGAACCATTCTAAAAAGAGTATTTTCTCCATGTAAGTAGTATTTATTTGCTTATTTAAGAAAACAGCCTAAAGAACTGGAAGATATAAAATGTAGATAAACAGTAGTCACATTTGTTTCCAGATTCTTTGCTTTACGATTAACATAACCATTTCAAAGTCAGACACTTAAGACTTTTGATATGTTTACATTTAACAGAGTTCTTGCCCTGAACAATGGGCACACTATAGGGAAAGTAGCAATGATTCTATAATGAAGTGCAAGACAAAATGAACAAAAAGAGATATGCAAATATCATAGCTGAGAAACTTCATGGAATAGCACTTAAATTTTTCAATTGCAAATCAATTTTTTTTGTAACCCCCCCCCCAGATTGATTTAGCCTATTACAAATACACATATATGTCAAATGGAAACAAAGAACTCAACAGAAGATCCTGTAATTATGAGTTAAAGAAATAAGAACTCTATTTGCTAATAACTATTTCAAATATTTTAAGTATCCCCCATTAAACCACTTCTCAGTAAGAAGCATTATCAGCCTTTAATGCATTTGCTTATTCTTTATGCTCAAAAACCAAGAAGCTTGAGTCTCCTCTGCCATGCATGTTTCCTTAATTGCCCAGCAGCTACTTCATCTCAGATCAGCATTCAATGAATGAGGAAAAGCCACCTCTCAACAGACAGGATTTTAATGTATCTCCCTTTAACTTCATCTGTGTTAGACAAAATTGTTATATTCTCCACTGTAAGGTATTACTCAGAAGGAAGTTTGCAAGAAATACAAGTAAAATCAAGGAATCTCACAGAACTTTTCTTAAACTGTTTGGAACTGAATTCTAAATTATTGTATTACAGAAGCATGTTACTATAAAGACATAAATAAGTCCTTGAAAAAAACAGTCTTAATTGTATCACATTTCACAAATAATGCTAAATATGTCAAGATAAAGTGAAGCAATTTAATTCTATGTGCACATACATACTACAGTACAGTAACAGAAACCAAAGTTTTAATTATCATATCTCTGCTTTTGACATTTTCCTCTCAACTTTTCTGTAAATACAAAGAAAGAGGAAATCTAATTATTTTCTTTGCTGTATGCCGTTTGTCTTCAGAGATGTAGAAGGAAAAAAAGGCATTATGGCTTCTACTACATGTGATCAAAAAATCCAAAGGATTTCTGACAGCAGCTTCCCTTTAAGATGACTACTATCTCTCACCTTTGCTGTCCCAATAGTGCAGGAATTTGGGGGGTGGGGAAGTGGGGGAGTGGAAGGAAAAAGATGACCTCTATTAATCAACAAAAAAGAACAATTATTACTGTCAGGTTCATGGAATTTGTACCTTAACCCATCTAGACACTGATTCGAAAGATGGTTTTCCCTTCAGAGAAGAATGAGGTACAGAAATAAGTGCCTACACATTAGTAATGAAGAAAGAAAAAAAATAATTTTTCAAAACATATATAACATCAAAAAAAAGTACAGACACAATCTGAAAGCAGTATTAAAAGCCTAAATAAAAATACTAAGTTTCACTTCAATCACCCTATTTTCAACAACCAGATAACCTCTGGGAAAATAGGTAGATCAAATTTCCTGAAAATTCACATAGAAAATGGCACATGTGATGAAAATATAGTTGTGGACGTTGATTTTCCAAGTCTTATGAGCTGAAGAACTCTTAGTTCTATTGCCTTCAAAATAGGCTTTCTCAGACATGTCTGTATCTTCCTTATTCTTTGTCTCATATTCATTGTTCACTGATAAGAGTTCCAAGATAACATTACATGGTTAGATTAATAACTTGTACCTTTCCCCTCTCATTTTTTTCCCAGACAATGGTTTTAAAAAAAAAACATAACCCCAAGACACACAACTGAACAACAAGAAAATATGAATCACCATGTTAAATAAAGATAGGACAATCTTCCATAAAAAAAGGGCTGAAAGACATATTTAGAGGACTGGTGGGAGCCAGTGTTCCCTTCTGCAGCAAAGACTCCCTCCTCTTCAGAGGAATGAAATTTTCACATACTCAGCATAAGCAAACACAACCTCTTGATCCAAAATTTTATATAGTGACTTCCCATTTGGTTAAAAAATAATCCATGCATAAGAGAACGTCAAAGTAGCATATAATCTCAGATGGACTTTTAAATAGTCTGCATTCTTTTCAGCCAGCTCTGCTAGGAAAACCTTTGACCATTGTCCAAGCTATTAGCATGGAAAACATTGTTTTGGAGACAGAAGTCCATCAGAAAGAAACCCAAGGAATTCTGGTAGTTGAGAATGGCTGTCACACTGCCAAAACAATGTCTGGAAATTTGGAATACGTGATCCCATTTTCAGTAAGAGAGCAAGATGGGTTTTATAGAACTAGATTTTTCTGAAGTGATTTTGGGGACAGAGAGACAGAGAGAAGATAAGTTGCAGTCCAGCTCTGTGCTCTGTCACAGACAGCTATCCACCTGTATCTTACCCTTGGTAATGGAACATTAGGTTTGAAGAAGTTTAGCAGGTCAGTTTGAGTTAAGCCTGTTGACAGTGGCCATGGTCAATCTCAGATTAATTTCTATAAAATTTAGCTGTTCAAATAGCTGTTCAGTAAGGCGCAATGTTGCTTCTAAGCTGTTCCCTCTGTAACTGCAACTTGCCTAAGGAAAACAGACACAGAAGTTGCTACAAGGAAACCTTCCCAGAGAGAAGATTGTTTCATATGTCAAACTTCTCCCTTTACGCAGCTTGCAGTGACACCACTGCAACATCAAATGGCATGGTGCCATCTAAAAGTTCCAAGATAAAAGGGAGGGCAGTACTTGAGGTACTGAGAAGTTGGCACTTAATGTCTGCCCGTCACGCACCTTATTAACAAAGGCTCTAAGGAAGTGTGCCTCTTGGGATGTTATTACTGTAACAGGACTCAAGACAAGCCAAGAAGAACATGTTCTTTTAACAAGGAAGACTAGTCCTGTACGAGAGTACAATGTTACCAATAAGAGTGCCCAGAAACTAAAAACAGAATAATCAAACAATTATGCAAGAGACTTCATGGATTGCAGCCTGAAAAGGTGGTGACATGGTCTGGAAGGAACTGAGAATCCCAAAAAAGGAGTTCATCGCACTGAAATTTTTAAAATACACAAACAACCTGACTGGTAAAAGGAATTGTCTCTAGTTCTTCAGGTCAAACAAACAAACAAAACCAAAACAAAAAAACCACAAAACCAAAAACCCACCCAACAACAATAATCCTAGAAATTTCAATAACTGAGCAAGGCAAATTTCAACATACAAAGAACCAGAAATGAGACTGTGTTCATTAATGAATGCTTTACAGATTGAGGAAGGTGACTCCTTCAGTAATATAAATGGTCTGACTTTTAAATTGTTTTTATGTTTTTCAGAAGATAAATAATTTCATTACTTGTTTAATATATGTTTGAGGGGTGTCAGTGGTGGAGTTGTTTTGGTTTAGTTTTCTTTGTTTTTTTTTTTTCTTTTTTAGTATAATCACATTGATTTTTTTTTTTTATAGTCCCAAAGTGCAAAAAGGAAAAGGAAGAAGATGGAAAAAGAAAATCAAATTGAATACTTGTAAATGACAACTTTTACTTCAAATCCAATTATCTTGGTTCATTTACTTCTGTTATTAAACAGATTTAAAGAGAGAAGGGCTTGGTTAGTCTCAGAAAAGCTGTTTTGATGGTAGGATCAAAAGAGTTCTCCAGGCACAGGGCATAATGACTATGAAAATAAGAACAGACACCCTGGAAAAAAAGATTTAGTACCAGTGAATGGGAAGGTTGGGGTAGGGGTGTATTGACAAGAGAGGTATTTATTTTGAGGATCAAAACAAAATTAAAGTCTAAAGCACTGAGACTAGAGAAAAGCATTCCTGAAACATATATCACATTCATGTGGAGATTTTATCAGTCCTTTTTTTCCCCCTTTGCAGTAATCTAATATAATTTGCATTAACGTTATTAGCACTTATGTTACTGAAATGTAGTAAACTCCCACAGATCTGTTAATATAAGCACTTTAGGATACTGTGAAATAAGGAACTTTCAGAAGAGAACTGCCAGCATTATCAAAGCTCAGTAGTGGCAAAGAAAAGAGGTTAACTACAAGACCCTCCCTATCATCAAGCACAGGGTATAAGTGATGATGATACAGTAAAATGAAATACTAACACAGCAGTCTCGTGAAATCATTGAAGGCTTATTTCCAAGTTGCTCACACCTGAAGGCACAATGTAAGTTAAGTAAACTAGATGATGAACTTTACATACAGCTGGTCAAGCTACAACTTAAGGAATCAAATGAACACTAGCCTTGGAAAACAAACTCTAGAATTTTCCTAAATCTCAAGCATACAGACTGGAGAGGTTTTGCTCACAAGTTCAGGATCACTATTTCATGCATTTGCATGATAAAAATATGATTGAGCACGTCAATAATGAAAATATTCATCTTTCACGGAAATCTTTCAGATCAATAATAAACATGTAGAAAGAGATGGCAGAAAAACTGAAAGTTGCATCTAACACTTATTATCAGATCATTTCAAAATGCTCAAAAGTTGTTCCCACTGCTACACAGAACAACTCATATGGAAGTTCTTCCTATTTTAATTCTCCAAGGGATTTACTTATTGAGCAATCAAAGCTAGTGTGCTCCCAAGTAGGAATTTTTTTCTAAAATTCTGGATATTAGGAAATAGCAAACAGATATCAAGTGAAGTAAGATGTTGAAAAAATCAGCACTTAGGTTGAGTAGATTACCATTGTTCCAAGGCTTATTAGAATCTAAAGAGTTATTTGACTAAATGACTTGATTTCATCATTTGACTAATATTAAATCAACTCATCTGTTTTCCTGAGGGATGAGATAGCAAAAGGGCATAGATACAAAGGAATCATGCTATGGAACCTGTAGGCATACAGCCGCCAATTGCACTGACTTTTCAGGTGCAGTGATTTTTTTCAAGCACACTGATATGTATAGAGACCCTTTTGAATTCACCAGCATAGGAAATAAAGTAAAATATAAACCAGTCCAACCTGCATTTTTCTCATGTTTTCCCATATCAGCTGGTGTTTCCCTCTGTTGAAGACCCCTGTGGTTTTTACCACTATGTACCTCAGTTACTCTTTTCTTTGGTTTATCAGTCTTACCTTTCATAATATAAAAAACATTTCAAAACTAAAAATAAGGTATTAATTGTTACACAAATGTCTGTTTTCTGATACCATGAAAAGCTACTTCTTTTCTTATTTCAATAATTTTTAATAAGGAATTATAAATATTTGATCCTCTTACAAATAAAACACATTTCCTAAGGACATCAGGTCAAATATCACTTACAGATAATAGTTTTATAAGTAATTCATTAACTTCAATTTTTCTGTAATTCCAAAATGAATTTTGGAATATTGGAATACCTCCCTGAAACAAAGTCATCAGGGATAGCTTTGCCATAAGCAAACAAAAAAACCCCGAAAAACAACAAAAAAAATCCCACCAACTCCCCCAAACACATTATTATTTAATTTATTTGCTGTTTAATTTCATGTCCACTCTCTCCTCTTCAAAAGAAAAAAACCCCAACCCTAATAATTACTTCATGTTTTGTTTTTCCATGCCATTCACGCTATTAAACACTTCCCTTGTATCCCTGAAGGCAATTCTGTATTAGGTTAGAGAAGATAATCATAGAATAGTTTGGTTTGGAAAGGAACCTTAAAGGTCATCTAGTTGAACTCCACCTCTGGCAATGAGCACGGACATCTTCAACTAGGTCAGGTTTCTCAGAGTCCCATTCAACCTGACCTTGAGTAAAAATGAAGCCAGAATTTTGCTCCAAAATCGAAGTGTTTTTGAGACCTAACAGCTCCATTCAATTAATGAGACTTTTCCATGCAGTGGGAACCATGCACGCAAGAACTGTAATGTTTTTGTAGAAACAAGACTGAAATTCACCAACGACATATCAAAGAAGTAGTGAGAAACTAGTTTTTATTTTAAAACAGTCCACAACTTTCAGTTCCACTTTTTTACTTATTCAAGAATTTGAAAAGGAAAAAAGAAAAAGCAACTTGTGGCTTCTGAGTTCTGACATGATGTTTACTGATATTTTCCAGAGGAAATACAACTTCAAACTCTTTTGTTATAACCTCAATTATGCTGAGATTATCATCTGCTCTGGGTACCACTGGAAACTGCTTTGAAATTCTCACACCTACTTCCCTTCTAAAATGCAAACATCCAAATTATAATTCTACTGCTTTTTTATGCATATGGGTTTCCCTAGGCGTCTGTGCACTTGTCAGTCTGAAGACAACAGTGAAAGACCTTATTGACCTCTGTGATACAAACAGAAATTTGCCTATTCAAGTCAGAAATTATTCTCAACTAAATCACCTATTCAATTTCCAAACAAGTTATTAGCTAAGTAAGTAGAAGAAATGAAACAAAATACAGTGGGAAGTTTCAGGGGAAAAAGGAAAAACAGTACTCAGTGTGATCAAAGTATACATTAATTATTAGACTGACAAGTGAAAACAAAAATTGTAACAGAAAGATATACGTCTACCAGCTTATTATAAACTGAGAGAGTTCAAACACTAGCTTGCTTATGAAGAATGGAAACAAAATCAAATTCTATAGACACTATAATCTCATTCTAATTCCAAGCATAAAATGCCGCCTACAAGTAGAAACAATTAAGAGTCACTTTAATTCATCTGGCTTAAAATTTCTTTTTAGAAGTTTCACAGTGGAGGAGTAAAATATACCATTTACGCAGCACAGGGTTATATTGAAGAACTACATATAATTTTCCATAAAAACCTCATACATAAAAATTATTTGCATAGCTATCATCAATACTTCCTCCCCCTGCAGAAATACTTTTGGTTTGTTTTGCTCTTGGGAAACGTGCTTCTTCCTTTAGGTAGTATTGTTTTTAAGGTTGTCCAATTCAGTACTTCCTAGGAGTTGCCGTAAGACCATGGATGTGTATTTTCAACAGATCATACAGGCACAAAAAGCTGATCTTATAAAAGATGCAAGCAGGGACCTCTGTACTTACAATGTCTTTCAACTTTTTTGCAAAAGATTTACATGTTATTTCTTCTGCAAATGTTCTCATGTTTTCCTCTCCTTGTCTGAGGTCTCTGATACTCAGAAATCAGTCATCAGGCTCCAGAAATGTCATATGTTTCAAGAGCTTCTGTTCAAGTTTTATTGAGATGGCTTTAAAAAAACAACCAACCAACCAACCAACTTATCATCTTTTCCTCATTTGTGGACTTCAGAAAAATATGGTTGCTAGCCAAAACAACCCACATTGTGAGGCTCAATGCCAAGGCAGCAATAACCATCACACTGAGAACATCTAGGAATTCCTGAGGCAGTCACAATAAAGAAGAAAGGGAATGCCTGAACTCTGAATTCTGGGATTCATTACCTCTCTTGGAAGACACCATGTAGAAGACAGACATGAGACATGGGTTCCCCTTTAAAGGTTACAATCATGCCCTCTTATCCTTGCTCTTTGTCAATATTCAGTACAGTGTAGTCTGTAAACAGGACTGAATATCACTTTCTCAGCAGACCTGAATGGAGCAAAATTATTTTCCTGAGAAAAATATTTGCCATTTCCCAACTTTTGAGGATTTTAAAGATTAAAATAAAAATGTCTAAACACCTATTTCCAGATAATATGAAACTTCACAAAATTGCAGTGCTCTATTCAACTGTCAAAACAAGCAAAAGCCTACTGCAAGTCTGAACTTGACATGGGATGGGTTTGGTTGGCATCAATGTAGAGCTTTCTTTCAACATAAACCTATCTCTTCACTAAGGAACAGCCTCCAATTCAACACAAAGTGTAACACCCCGATGGTCAGACGTACTTGAGATGGCAGTGATCTGCTAGAGTTAAAGTACAGGATGAACAACTTGAGCAAAATCGGCCACAATGGCTAGACACCAGAGTTTCTAAGAAGCATAGTAAAGCTTCTGCAGAACCCTCAACATACTTTTGTTAGACCTTTTGTACAGCTGCCCAAGTTACTCGGAAGTCAATCCCTGAATAGAAATTTCAGGAAGATACAGGTGTTTGGATTCTTACTTGGTCTTACCAGTTCCAGCTGAACCTTCCTTTAACAAAAACTGGGATCCACAACCACTTTCTCTGGGATACCAATTCTTGAAGATGAGATGGGTGGAGGAGAAGGATCTAAAATTCTAGAACAAATACAAGGGAGACCTCTGTATCAGAGAAAGTTGCTTAAGAGAGGTGATTGGTACAGCGGAAAATGAGGAAAAATTTACACCTCCTGGAAAATCATGACTGCCCTCTAAAGAAGGTTGGGGAAATCAAAGTGGTGAATCCTGTACGGAACACATAAACAATTTATCATAAAATTAAGACAGAAAGACCTAAGAAAACAATACAGACAAAAATGCAAGAATCACAAGGAATGATGTAGAAAAGATATGGAACAGCCAAACAGCTAAGAAGAGTGAACAGAAAGGGCGTACACAACCCTTCCTACTAAACAGTATAGATGTAAAGTTAATCAGGGATTCAGAGGCCAACTCTACAGATGCTGTCAAAAGAAAAACATTATCCAACTAGCTGTGTATGAGTGCTGTCAAATATAATGCAAATATGGTTGGTAATAGCTTACTAACTTACAACTACAGACTTGCTGTCATAAAATGAGAAGAAAGGAACTGTACCAGTTTACATGTAGCTGCTATTAGATTCCCTAGACACTGCTGCAACATGAAATACAGAACATTGGCTGCTAGGTCTAACGCTGTGATAGGTTGTGGACACAATATATGAAACAATGATAAGAGGTTCAAGTGTCATAAAAGGGGATAAAGTACATTAAAAGCAATTGCTTACTGGAAAAAGTAATCTAGAGGGATAACAAAATTATAGAATGGTTTGGGTTGGAAGGGACCTGAAAGATCATCCAGTTCTAACCCCTCTGCCATGGGTAGGGACACCTTCCACTAGAACAGGTTGCCCAAAGCCCCACCCAACCTGGCCTTGAACACTTCCAAGGATGGGCATCCACACCTTCCCTGGGAAACTTGTTCCAGTGTCTCACCACCCTCATGGTGAATAATTTCTTCCTAACATCTAATCTAAATACACCCTCTTTCAGTTTAAAGCCATTATCCCTTGACCTCTCACTACACTAATCATAAACAAATTTCAATGACCTCTAAAAGAGCTGTGGTTTTTGCAACCCCTACTAACCCCAAATGTCTTTCAGAACTGCTAAATAAACGAGTATGCTACAAATATTTTAACACAGGACAGACGAAAAAGAGTGTTTTCTTAATAGAAGATTCTCAAAGTGGAGCATGACTTTGTAGATTTATTCTTTTTCCTACTATTTCAGACGTTGAAAGGTAATTAAATATGATAATAAAATCTATCTTTTTACTGTTCTAACTTACATTCAACTTCTGTCCAAATAAAGTTTAAATTAAACCTTCCGACTAAATCAAATCTTTTTCATGAGCTGTATAAAAATGCAAGTATTTAAGAATTGGGGGTGGGGCAGAGGGAAGAAGTGGGTTGTTTTCTAATAAAGCTTTAATGCTCGGGAAAAAAACAAAATGCACATATAAATTGCCTCTTGGACCCCCCAGTGGGACTGAGTAGGTGATTACAGTGTTAAATAGTATTTTATTATATCGTCCAGAGAACTAACACTTGGACTTGCTGGTCAAGCATGTTTCACTTCACCATACTGCAGACCAAATTGTGGCACTGCCATTCACAGCAGCCCCATATTGAGACATTTAGCCATGTACAAGGGAAAAACAACAGGGAAAAGACTATTCAAACAAGGAAAAAAAGTTCTATGACTAATTCTTTTAAGAAATTTTTTTCAGAGGTTTTCTTCTAAACCATACAACTATAATCCTACTCCTTCATGCTACTTGAGCCAATTGAGAGGCTTGCATTTGTAATGATATCCAGCTATCTGTAACTAAGTGATAGTGAAATGGCCCAATTCAAAGTCTTCATCCGTTCATCCATCAAGCGCAAGCCTTTTGGGCTGCAGTCTTGCAAGATTTGCTCTTAATCACTTTTCTGACAAATGAAACAGTCATCATGACCTGTATTGCTTTTTGCTTTCGATTTATTAAGCAGTTCACTGCTCTTTAAGTTTCTGTCTCTCTGTAACTTGTTATCTGCTTCAGTTATGCTTCATTTACAATTGCTTTTTCTCCTCCTCATTCCACCACATCATTGTTGAAACTGCCTTTTTTTTTTTTTTTTTTTTTTAAAGCTAAGACTCAGGTAGAAAATAAACTACTGGAATTTTTGATAGATAAACATATATCAATTCAATTTCTGAACTTTTTCTAATCTACAACATATTCAGGCTTATGGTGTGAGCTTTCTAAAAAAGTATCTAAAGCAAACTTATTATTGGAATTTATTGAACATACTCCTGGATGTATCTGTCCCCTCAGAAGGATATTACTATATCCTATATTATCAGCAAGATATTGAAGCCATCATGAGCATGCTGCAAGAGTTCATCTCAGGAGGTAAAGGAGAATGACACTGATTCATTGAGACTGATTCACTTCCAAATTTTGAGAAGAGGCATGGGAAATGTTCTTCAATGTTAAGTAGTTTGGGGAAGGGGATACATTTCCATTTTATAAAGTAAACATCATGAGACAATATTAATTAAAAAGTCATAGTTGTTTTTTGTTTCTTTGCTTTTTAAAGTTAGAATCCAAGAAAAAAAAAAAAAAGGACTAGCGGCTATGGAAGACCGAAATTGAAAAGGAAGGCACTCTGACAGTCAAATTTTTAAGGCAAGCTTAGTATCTTCAAAAGAAATAATGAGATTCCATAAACTGCTTCTGTCAAAGCAACATCGGGTGCTTCTAGCTATAATTACATCCTTTAATCCTTAATTCAATCCTCTATCAGTTTTCCCACTATTTTTCTTAGAACTGATACCAAGACAATCAGACTTAATTACTTAGCTTTTGTTCTTTTTAATATTGGCATGGTACTAACATCTTTCTATTCTCTATCGAGTTTTCTTGGATCATATGGTTTTATTAAAAGACTGACCAAGAATAGTTGGGGGGAAGGATGTGTGTGTGTGAAATATCTCTGAGAACAGAGCACTGAATGAATCTTGAAATTACCAAATCTGTAACAGACAACAGCACAGAAGCAGGAATATAAAACTATAGCAAGAAGCAGAGACCTGGAAAAGACTAGTGAGACTAAACTTTCAAATTATTCTGAGAACAGTCACAAAGAAAAAAAGGTAATGCAAAAATATTTGGTGCCATCATGCTGTTTACTTTGCTGTATAAAATCCTATGAAGTACAAAACTATGTGAGCAATAAAGATAGAAGCCAGTGACAATCGCTGAAATAAGCTCCTGTTGTTAGTGTACATTTTTCACACATAAAATTAAACAGATTTTGATAGAGATTTGTACACTTACAAAAAAATTTTCAAGGGAATCTGAAAATTTGAAGAACCTTCACTCACAACAGAAAAACTGGGAACATCTGAACATAATAGATTCTGTACACTTTATATTGATCATCTCTTCATTTAAGTTTGTAATAGAAGATGACAAACTTCCATTAACAAAACTGTAATAACATGGTTTTTGTAGGAGCTCTAATACATTTTTTTCTTCAACAAGCTCCCTGGAGAAGGGAGTATCTTTACCAAGAACAGAGACAGACTTTTCTAAGTTTTACTAACATAATAGTTTTCCTGACATAATAGCTATTTTCCTGTTTTCCTAACATTTAGCTTTCCTAACATAATAGCTGGAAATGTAAGGTGTCTCATAACAGTCTGATGAAAGCTGAAGCAACCGGTATTTTGATGTCGATGCCAAATCAGTAGGCTGTTCTGTTTTAACCACGGCATTAGAAATCAGTGTGACACCAAATGTAACCTCTGAATGCAATAGCAAGAATTTATGGTGTCAGATGCCTACTGTTCCCACTTTCCCCTGGCATTGCTAGCAGAGATTTCATTATTATGAATATGCATTCAAGAGCTCACTCAAAGGAAATGCCAATTTAACACCAGATTTAATAATCTTCATTTTTCTAGCATATGACATACAAGAAACAGGCCAAGAACAAGATGTGAGACAGAAGTCAGTCTGCTCCTACTGTATATGAAGTTATCAACTACTTCTTGACATGAGACCCTTCAAATATAAAGCTCCAATGTTTCCTCAAATCTGAGAAAACACTGAACCTGAACTCAAATGGTTTGATTTTCATGTTCCAACTAATTGCACTTTGTTTCCCTTTCTGCTCTTTCTTTTCATACATATGCTTCTCTTCCCTCTAACCTTCTCACAAGCTTTCTTTTCTGATTATCCCTATGTCTACGTTCCTTCATTCCCCCTTCAAGTAATAACATTACCTACAGCACATGAATGATGACTACAGCACTGTCTTCCTTAAGAAGCACAGCAGTATATTAAAATCAAAATAACTAAATATATTTCTAGCAGGCACACAACATATAAATCCTTTATATGATCTTATTGCTGTCAGATTCAGTTTTTCTTCTTTTCTTCTCACCTACTCCATTAAAGAGTGTATTATTGCTTTGGCTGAATTAAGGCAATCCAAATAGCAACATGAAGCAACATAGACTGAGCCACAAAATTAAAAACTATTAAAGGAGTACAAGATACCTATAATTGTTTTTACTTGCCTGCAGAAACACCTGATTATGCTAATTGTGGTCTTTTTTTGCAGTTTTATACATCAAGGAGGGCAGAGGTATTAACACAAGAACCGCTCTGATCATAAGATCAGGTCATAAGACTCCAGGAGCTAAGTACTCATCTTTCCCATCTCTGATCTCTTGTTAAACTCTGATCCCAGTAATGCAAAACAAATGATTTCCAAGAGGTTTCAGGAATTCACAATTACCTAGCAATTCACACACTGAAAGCCTGATTGTACAATTGGGGTCTTTGTGTGCAGGAGACAGGAATACTGGTTTCATCACTGAATTACCACACACATGGACAAGTACACTTCAGACATCAGTTACAGTTAACACCCAGCAAACCAACTGACTTTATTTTTAAACATTCACAAAGAAATAAAAAGATTCTTTCAAGAACATGTTTGCTCTAGGTGTTTTATTTAAGGTCAGTTCCCATGTGTGTGCTAGAAATAGAAAATATTTCCAACTGGTCATTTTTCTGAAGTAAATGAAGTTTTATTTTCTTGGTACTTTATGTTCCCTGATAGAAGTAACACTGAAGTTATCATTGACAAAAAATAAAGTGGATATTTTTCATTCCCTCCATGCAAGCACTAGAAAAATCAAACCACAAGTTATATTAGACTGTACAAAAATAGAACACAATTTTACTTTTGTGAAATAAAAATAATTTGCCCTATATACCACTTTTTAATTCAACAAGTTGAAACAACTTTCAAAGTAAAAATGCACCATTAATCTTTCTATCATATCAAGGTTTCTGAGTGCTAATTTAAACTATAAATTTATGAAATAATAATCTGAGATTCCTTCTTTTACTTCATAATCTATCTTTCTGAATACAGTCCTTAGTAGTATTCTATTCTAGTTGCCTTGAACATGCCGAGCTGTATTCACAACAATGCCAGTATGATGACTATGATACCTACAGCCTCCTGTGCAATCCCAACTAGCCAGGTCAGCTCTCAACTAATATGGCATCACTGCAATTCCTGGGAATTTTATGGAAAATATGTTAAAGAATAAAGGAAGGATACTGAGAATCCATACCATGATCTGGTCCAAAATTCAGAAAACAAAAAAATAGAAGAAAACAACTCTGAATTAAAGAACATTTGTAGTAATCATTGAGTAAGGATAGTACTATTTTTAAGTATCAGATCATAAAATTTGCCAAGTTTAGAAATATATTTTCAAATTTTAATAGCCAGGATTAGCGCATCATATGATATTTTTCCTCATCTCTTTTCATTCCCTTTTTTTTTTAAATAAATGTTTTTGAATCTCCATGCAATAAGAGACTCTCATATGTTACAGAAACAACAGTTTTAAAGAAGTCACCATATTAAACGTGCACCCAAGGAGTACCCAACAGAGAAGATCCATGATTACACAACCTTTGCCATCTTCTACTTTCTGAATTCTTAGTAAGTGTATCACTACTTTACACGATGGGCTGAGAATAGGGCAATATTCTACAGTGCAAAGACCTTCACATTAAGTAAACCAACTAATTATATCTACAAGAAATATTTTCTTTTTGGTGTAAAATATCTTCATTGGTGACACTTTTTGCTTGAATTTGTATTTATTTGGCATATTGCTGAATCAGGTTTTGGGAAACTTGTTGCAAAAACAAACTCAAATAGTGTTGCATAACTGTGGAACAAAACAAACTCTATAGTGTTTTATTTTTTAAATCGCAAAAAATTACACCTACTTGAACAACGGAAGTAAAATGGAAGCAAATACTTGAAATTTCTGTTTCCCTACAGTTCCAGATAGCCATCATCTTTCAGCTTTTTACAGTGGTCTTCCACATACCAAAAAATACGATTTTTTTCCTTTAACTAGATGGAAATATCTCTGGCATATCTTTTGTCATATTCATCATTTAATTTCTTACCATTAAGCACCTTCAAAAGTTTCTCAAAAGTATTTACTTTTGCAAAGTCAATTAAACTAACTGAAAGTCAATGTAGAGACATGAACTCCTCAAGGAATTTTAGCAAAAATCACCTTCATTCATTTGCACTAAGAAGATTTTTTTGGGGCTTCAAAAAGATAGATTCCCGTATTTCCATCAGACTGATATATCTTTAACCTACTTCATATCTCTTTTATTCTGTATTAATGTTTACTGCCACAGAAGTGCGTGTTATTATCCTGTGCTTACAGCAGTACTTGAATTGTAGAGAACAAGTTAAAAATACTGAGCCATCAAGACACCAACCTTGTGGGCAGGGTGCAGCAGCCATCAGCCGTCAGCCTGACTTGGGTTTCATAGCTATCCAGGGGGCAAACAACTTGTTGAACAGGAGGACATTCAACTGTGCTGCAATCCACACTGAACACTATGGAGGAAGGGAAGAAGAAAATTTCTTTTACTTATGCTTTAGAAGCTTTTTGCAAATTACTTCCTCATAAGCAACCACTTATGCATCATCTGCATCAAATCATCTTTTAAGTCAGAAAAATTATCCAAGTAATGCATGCTTGCTAGGTAACATTACAGAAAGACTTCCTTTCTCTTTAAGATTCACTTTTTAAAATTCTTGACTCAGGAAGCAATTGAACTAATATTAGTTAATAAAAAATTCATAAAAATTAGGCAATCAAACAATCATTACACCTGTGAATAATATTAGTTACTAGAAATACACTAGGTTACTGAAAATATATACTTCCAACAGCTTTTAAAACAGTAAACAATTGTTGGGGTTTTTTTCCTAATTAAAGGTTGTTTAAATAGCAAAATACTTGGGTTATAAGTTAAAAAAAAAAGAGAGATACACTATGGATTTATGTCTGCACATATAAAGTATGTACTTTAAAGACTATTCCATTAGGTTGTTTTGTTTGGGTTTTTATATATGGTGAAAATGAAATGCAAATTATCATATCTTTCTGCATTAATGAGATAAAGAATTCCACTTAACAAGAAAGACTGACCAACAGTTTTTAGAAAGCAACAAATGTTTAGAAATCCAGAAGAAAAAAAAAATAAACAGGTTGAATATATATTTAATCCTTCTGAGTCACTCTCAGGAAGGTTGAAACACATCTTTATCTTATTTGGTCCCAAATCTTCCATGTTAACAAACAATATCAGCTCAGGTATTATCTATTTGCTATCCCTTATCATAATTATACTAAGAAAGTACAGAATAAAACATGGTTCCTGCTTTAAGATATGAGTTACCTTCTGATTGAGCAAGCTGGATGAATAGAATGTTATCAGACTGAAAATTACACAGTATGATATTCCTGATTAGTGATTAAACTTCACTTCAGTATTGACACTATCACAGCTGCCTACTGAAGTACTATAGCAGCTTGGCAATGCTACACCACACTTCCTGGAAGAGCTGATAACCTTCAAAGGCCCGTTTTCTCTCTTCGGGTCCTACATTTTTCCATCTTGACACTCAGCAGTACACAGCAATAATAACCAAATCAGTCATAATGAGGCACCTCAGTCTCAGAATTACATGTGTTCAGCACATCTCTATTGCAGTGGTTACAGTGTGATAGCAAATAGCTCATTAACACTGAAAAGCAGCCCAAATAGTCTATTAAAAAAGTACAAACTTAAGAAAAACTACAAACAAACTCCAAATCAAGAGCTTTCAAATAGATTTTTTTATTATTATTATATTGTTAGATTAATCATAAAATGGCTGCGGTAGTACAGGGCCTTTTGGAGGTTCCCAAGGCATGCCATGTAGATCTGGCTGCCTCAGGCTGTGCCCAGGCGGCTTTTCAATATTCCATGGATGGAGACTCCGCTACCTCTCGGGGCAATCTGTGCCAGTGCTCAGTCACCCTCACAACAAAAAAGTGCTTCCTGATGTTAAGAGGGAACCTCCTCTGTTTCAGTGTGTGCCCCTCACCTCTCTGCTCCTGTCACTGGGCACCACTGAAAAAAACAAACTTGGCTCTGTCTTTACATCCCTTTCATACTTTCCTCCCAGAAGAGTGGTGAAGACAGATAAGAGATGCAAAATATTTGAAAGAGGAAAAAGGGTTCCTACTTTCTTTTAGGTTTAAACAGGTTTCTCAAAGTGGAAAAAGTATTGAGACAAACTCACAGATAATCTGAAAATATTGTAAGGTTTCAGAACAGTCTATAACTGAATTCTTCATTGCTTAAAAAGATATTTCCCAGATTAGCTGCACTACTCTCCTAAAAAAATAAGACTGCAAACTTTTGCCACTGAACTACTAGTGTCTTTTCACAGCTTGCTTTGATTCCAATAATTATCACATGTACATTTCATGAACAGGTTTATTATAAGCTGTTATTATATATTTTATCATAAGCTAAAAAAAAATTGTCTATTCTAGAAGCTTTAAGCTTTAAATACATAGTTTGACAAATATGTGTCTTTGAGAACTCATAAACATGTTTCAACTTCCTACCAGTGAAGACACACCCAATCAACCTTTACTTAGAAGTCTTCAGGAATTTTCTCATGCACTCAATTTGTATACAGTATCATCAGAGAGTTACCAATTTTTCTACAAGAATGTAACATAAACTCTGCCATGGTTGCAGACCCTGACATATGTGCAATAATGTGCCACCTCCTTTATAGACTACAAAACCAAAGGTCTCTGATCGTGTACCTGCTAATACCTAGGTGAAAATAACTTTCTGGTAGAATATGTTAACACAGTATATTTAGTGTATTAAGTTTCACCCTGGTATTATGTCAGCTTTTCAACTAATAGAGTGTACAGTTTAGGGGCAAGATCTAAATAACTACTTAGGCATCTAATGATCCAGTAGCAAGTCAGTAATTACATCTCTGATGCAACATGGTGGTTCAGTATAGGGTAAGACTTCAGAAGTTGCAGATTTCTGAGGGTTCAGTTCAAGGATACACAGTCTGCTTTCTACAGCAGCTAAAAAGCATCACATAACATCCTCTGCTTTCAGTTCAGATGCATTTCAAGTGGTTCCTCAAGAATAACGTGACACAACACAACCACATGTGATAATGGTAGTTACACTTTCTGCCCAGGGAGAAGTAGGAAGGAAGCACGAAAGTATTTCTCCACGACAAGGCATTACCCTTTTTACACTCCTTGACACTTCAGAATATATTACATACAACCATAACAGATGGCATTCCTGGACTTTGAATGCAGTTGTATCACTGCCTGAATCACTTCCTTAACTGCCCTATCCCAGGTATTTGCCAACATGGACCCCCACATGTGCTGGGTTTTTTTCCTTCCTCACCGTCAACTTAAAAACCCTTTCTCCACCTCCATTGGACATGTATCTGTAATTCTTCCTCATTCATTTTCTCCAGTCCTTCCCCACTCTTATCTCAAGTTCTCTCAACATCAGCTTTAACAAAGCATCCAATAAAACAATGCATGTACTATTTCTAGGAGCAACAGAGATTACAGAATTCCTCTTCTCTCAGCTATGCATAAAAACTTGATTTTGCTGACCCTTGTCCTTAAGCACATGACTGTGAAAGTTCCAGACCTGATTTTCAATGTTGAAGCTGCACCAGGGTGGAGCACAAGTTACTTCCCTGTGCGTCATTACACACTACCTACTAAATTTTTCTGCTGATCTCGGACTTTCCATCAAGCTCTGACTGCACAAAATTCTTCAAAGAAGTAAGCTGAACAATAACATTTTCTTTACAATTGCATTTAAAACAATATTTGGTAAGAGAAAAAAGAGGCCATGCTGGAGATGAGTAAATGAAAGCTCTGCCAGAAAGATTTCTAAAAGATTGACAAATGATTGGCTGTTCCAACATAGGTTATGTCTAGCATGGCAGACATTTCCCAATGTGGGGAATGTCCACAATGTCCCAATGCCCACATTTAGAAGAAACTAAAATATGACACTCCCTTTTACACCATATACAACAACAAAAAAAGTTATAAATAAAGGTACAACAAACATCTGTTGGACAACTGCCAAAGTAAACTATTTAGCTTGCTTTATTCAGAAGTGACAGCTAGAGTTCCTATCACCACTTCAGCAAAATACATTTTAAATAGATTTTAATTCAATCTTTAAATAAACAAAAATGATTTAAAAAGCATCACTGTTCATAGTGGTTTAGCTTTTTAGTCAAAGAGGTACATATACTCCCAAAAATCTCCTTTCAGGTTATTTTTATTTTTATCATTAACACGTTATGTAGCTCCATTTGAGATTGCTCATTCAAACTATTTTTAAGAATTACTTTTTTTAAAAATACATTTTAAGAACTGTAACTCCCAGCTTAAACTAAATTCAGTGCACATTCACTAAATTCACTGCTCATGAATGGACAGTTATACACAGCTTGTAAGAATAAAGGAGGTTGCTTATGGCACCAGATCAGTTATTTCACCTCTGAGTTTTGTAACTGCAGCAAAACAATGAGCAGGACATACTTATTCTCAGCACATACCACACTGTGATGAGATACTTGGTGGAGCAACAGGTAAGAACATTTAAGATATATTACTCTGGACAAGCATTTGTCCAAATTTGGGCAAATTTGGGCAGTCCATAGACAAGTATGACTAAGCTACTAAGTTTCTTCACTGTTCATTTTCACTGAATACCAATGCCTTTAATTGTATCCCTAAAGTAAAAGTCGCAAAAAAAGAAGTGGATCTCAAAATAAAAAAAGTTATTTTTATTCTAGCATTTAGTGTTAAGGAAACACTATTTTCTTTCAGTAACTCAGTTGCCAATCACAGCACTTGAACATATGCAGATTTCAGCAGAAGGTTCCCAACTCAAATGCCACAGTAAACTAGAGAGCAGTGATATCTTATTTAAAGAACAAAAATAAACACAATTTATGCTTTAATTGTGGAAGCACTTTATCTTGGCATAAGGCAGCACTGCCGTCATAGGAAGCAGTCCTCCCAGCTTCTGGTAATTTGTTTGAGGTTGGTCAAGCAGATAGAGAAGAGCAGGAAAAGCATTCTGGTAGCAGTACTCACAGAACTAAAGTTTTTGGGTCTATGGTAAAAACTGGAAAACATTTTTCTCTGTTTGACACGCAAATTCCATCAGCTTGCTGACATATTCAGTAAAACTCGTGACATCAGCTCCACAAGAAACTCTGCATGAACACCTACCTCCCAGGCCTTATACTGTCCACTATCCCATTTTTTTTTCCAGCAACATGGCATTTCAGTCATAATTCATATAGTTCAGTTCCCCTCCAACTCTTCTTTCCTACAATTCTTCAGGATACCAAGTCAAACTCTGAATACAAAAGGTCTATTCCAGGTCTCTCAATTTCTAACCCCCATTTGCAAAGCTCTACACTTCCCTTAAATCTCATTAGTTTCCTTCCCCAATCTCTTCAAAGCCTCTACTCTTCTATCCTCCTAATACGCATCTTCATTTTTCCATTCCCATGTGCCTTCACCTCCTAAAGTCCCTACAGCAAAAAATATAAACTGCTTCAGAAAACAATATACACACAGTTACATAAATTCACTAATGTGATAGAAAATCATATTCAATTTGAAGATTCTGTAGCAAGTTAAAACAGCCTTTAAGAAGTAACCTCCATGGGTAAGTCTGGAAGGACTTATTGCAAACTACAAGATGGGCATTCAAATAACAGCCGGGAGGACATGATTAGAGCTAACATCTACTTTGAGAAAGATAAATAATCCAGTGTCAGCAAGACAAAATTCAGTAAAGGCTTAATTAAGTGTATATAGGAAGAATTAAAATGTAAAAATATAGTGGTTCAGAAGCAATCATGATACAGAAAGATCCTGACATCACAGCATTTCACTAACTAGAAATAACTCCAGTAAAACAATTAAATCTTATTTAGAATTTTGCATGAGAGACAGAAAACAATTATTCTACAGTATTTAGTGCTGATGAAGATGCTCCAAAAATACTAGTCTGCTTTTGGATACCACATTTTAAAGAAATGTGGATAAATGGAAAAAACCTACAGAAGGGAAACATAACAAGGCATGAGTTCAAAGGAGCTATGTTATAAGAAATTACAGCTAATTCTAGATGAAAGAAGCCTAAGGTTGACAAAATGTTCCAAAAAATTATAGTAAAAATTATAGTAAAGACTTGTTCACCAATTACTCAGGACAGGAGAAAAAAATGTTTGCCTAAATTTCCATACGGTGGGATTTGCATTGGATATTAGGAAAAAAAAAAACACAAAGAGAAGCACTAGAAGATACAAAGACTGTACAGTCTTCTTCTGTGGAAGATTTAAGAAAATTTAAACAAGCATAGGAAAAGCAGAGTTAAACATACTTGAACCTATTTGCCTACATGATTTTGGATTATACCATTTTACATGCCTGTTTTCAGCCCTCTGTTTTCATTATTCATCTTTACCAAAGCCTGGATCAAAGAGTGCATTACATCTTCCACTTCACTTGGAATAATAAATCACAAGAAAGGGTGTTCTCATGAAATGGAAGATGGGTAAATACTGAAAATGTTGTAAAGTTTTTCGGTATGCTCCTCCATAACCATTTTGCTCTCTGGTTTTTAAGGGTCATCACTTGATAATCTGGAGAAATCTTAAAATAGAATTCATAATTCCCTGTCCATGCACAGGGTATATCTACTACGAAAAATCTTTGTATAACCTAATCAGTATATAAAGTATGTCACTTGCACTAGTAGCATTCACAGAAATGCAACATTCTTACTAGGTTACTTTTCCCTTCCTGCTGAGTTTAAATTAATGTTTAAAGAAAAAAGACAGTAGAATTTATCATAATATTTTTTTAATGGATACTGGCCACATTTAATAACTTTAATTTTCAAGAATCAGAATAATTCAGAGGCTATATAGGTTTTATTAGACATAATTATATAAATTACTTTGCTTGTCAGACAGAAAAAAACCTGAAAAACGGGAAAACAAATTGTGTCTGCTTTTACCTGGTTTGCATTCATAGAGGTCACAGCATTCCCCTGGTTTTCCTGATGCCTTAGAAACCAATATATTCAAGTAGCCGGGTTGGCAAACCTTCCTCAAGCAGCCTGCAGGATTACACACACAACGGCTTGGGAGTGGACAGCATTCACCAGGAGGAGCATAACCTTCAATCAGGATGGAATCTTCTGGACAGCGAGGAGAAAACTGGACCTCACAGCGGGCCTTGGAGCAATCAGGTTTCTCTTCTGAAAGGGAGAGAAAAATCAGCATGCCATATGTGTCAGTAAAACACTGTACTGAAGCTGTAAACATGAACTCAGCTAAAGCTCCCTTTCTTCTCTTCCCCCGAAACAGTAAAACAGCTGCTGCTGAACTGATTAGTAAAACTTATGGAATATACTTAAAAAAACTATAGGTATTTGCAAGATGACAGTTGCCTTACGAAGTATTTTACAAAATTCTAATTTGTACAATGTGCGTGACTGCCAAACCCACACAGCCTCAAGAACAGCTGGGAAGCTACACGGTTGGCCGGGACATTTAGAAACAACTTGTCACATCATGTCAGCTCTGAAGTTCATACCTATACTTCAGTTTCTGAAGATTTTGGATTACGAGCAACTGATTTTAACTGATTGATTTATCAGCCTGGACTGAGCTTTCACTTATTCAAAAAGCTAGTTAAAAGTTCAACACCTAATATATTTGCAGAGTCCATACATCAGCAGAAGAGGATTTTTTCTGTACACGCTCCTATATTCACATTAGAAGCATTGTTCCTATGTACTTTCACAGCTTTATCACTAAGAGAAGAGGTTTGACTATGGTGATAACAAGGTTTGATGATGATCCTTATGGGTCCCTTCCAACTCAGGATATTCGATGATTCCTCCATGTACAAGTACTTTATATTTTTTCTTACAAGCAACAAAGATTACTAGCTTATATGTGCTACTAGATAGAGTCATAACTCTGCTGTTATAGTTAAAAATCCCACTATTTCCATCTATCTTCAAAACAGCCTTGACTAGATACGTATTTTGCCTAGAACTTTAAATAACATTTGTAAGACCAATATTTTTCTGAAACCTACCCTTATGTCTTATCTGCTTTATTAAACACTGTTCAGACTGAACATTACTGGTTAAAGAGGTTCACTGCAGAAAACTGTAAAAATAACAGATAACATACTAGTTTCAGTATTTTACTGATAGTCTTTAGTTTACGGATATAACAAAAGGCTTGATATTTTAGCTGTTAAAATTATTTTTGTTTTTCACTACATGTAGTTCAACATTTACAGAGAAGTGATAGAACTGCTGCAGTAGCAGCCCTTGTACTCATGATAAGACTCTTGATAGACTACTTGTACTCAAGATAGACCCTTAAATTCAAACTGTTCATTGATCTGCCTTAGCATTATGCATCCAGCAATCTTCTGATTTCCATGACTAACAGAGAATCCCATTGTCATGCAGTCTCTCTCATGAAAAGACAAGTTTACCTACTATTTTTTACTTAACTGCAATCAGATATATGCATGTATCTATATGAAGATATGCATTTCCTTAAGGTGTGCTTGTACTTGATCAATGCAATTGGTCAAATCCAAACAATACAGATACAATTTGACCAATGCAATTGGCCAAATACAATAAAAACTGTGTTTGACTCATTTGGTCAACTTTCAGAATGGCAAGATTTGTCAGAAATGCATGTCAAACTCTTGGAATTCTGACTATTCAGGACTCTAGATATATCTCTTTTGAAGACCTATGCAAAGCCTACTGTTGGAGTTGGTAAGATCACTTAGCAAAAATATGAAAACAAGGATATATCATAATCAACACGTAGGACACATCAAAAAAAAGAAGAGAGAAATTTAAAGCAGAGAACCATGATAAGTATTTTTGTATGAAATGTTCACTCAGTGTTTCAGAGTTATCTTTGATAGTGTTTTCCATGTCATTGTGCCCAACGTAGTTAGTAGCAACAGAATAAATAAATAAAGCTAGCATCTCTTTCAGAGGAAATGGTTTAAACATAACCACCACCTTGCAAATATATGTTCATGTTTTAATACCACGTAACATAACACCAGTAGATATTCGGGAAACAAACTAAAGGCTTTCTTTTCAATCCAGTGTCACTATTACTTTTTTACTGCAGAGTCCTGAAAACCCTACTAATAACTCCGTACTAATACTAATGTAAATATCGTGCTTCCAAATTACATCTCAAACTATGTACATGTTGAAAAATTCCCTTTCCAGTATACAAATACAACTGAGCAACAGGAACGTCAAATATATTAACCCAAGCTGGATCAGCCAACAGATAACTATCTTTCAGATTCCCAAACTCCAGCCCACAGCAGAGTCAAAAGCAGGTTAAGAAACTTTCTGCATATCATGATTTGATTCTTGATTTAGATGTAATTTTCCTTTATGGAAAAGACTACTGGTTGAAATGATATGTGGTCAGCCATAAATTAAGTGTTTTCTTGTACACTCCCTACTTCATATTTTTGAATGGAATCTTTATCTAAAACATGAAAATCCTGCAGCTCCAGGTCTGACATTACTATATGTTAGTTAAAACTTTAATCTGCTAGCATCATACTACTGTAACTGCATCCTCAGTCCAGAACTCACTGCAATATAAGAAGGTGGGAGTTCAGTTTTACTGCATTTCAGTAAAAGCTGATGAGGGCTCCTCATTTTGATACCAACTTTGAATAAAAGAGACATTACTTTTAAGCAACCCATTCAGAAAAGTTTCAAGGTTTTTCTTCTTGTTATCTCAGCAAATGGCAAGATCTCTATCCACAGGGATTCATTATACTAAACTTGTTTACCTTTTGATTACTTCATCGAAGAAGGCATCAAAATTTAATTTGTTCTCAAAATAAATTACAAACATTAATACAGCCATAAATGTCACTGCTTTAGCCGGATTCCTGATTTAATTCCATTACATACAGCTATTTAAGATTTCATCAAAGAAGAAGAACTGTTTAATAGCTCTTTTTTCCTTTACTAAAAAAACACTTCTAGCCCTTACAAAAGGGACACATAAGAAAACACATAGAACAAAATAATTAAAAATGCATCAACAGCCTCAAAAGACTGAAAGGCAGGGTAATGGTAAGCTGCATTCCACAAGAAAAACAACTGTGAAATCACTTGCCAGTGATATTTCTGCTAACTTTGCCCCTTTTATACACCAACAGACTATTTCAAAGCAGCTTCTCAATAGACCAAAGTAGATTCACAACAATAGCCTACTGCTTCTCTGTCAAATAGACATACACTATGAAGCACTGACCTGTCTCCCAGATGTTGTTTTAAGCTACTGTATATTATACAAATCAGGATCTTTGAACCAATGTCTTCTAAGTCAGACAAGGCATCAGGACTTAAACTCCATTTTATTATCTATTCTGTTAATAAATAAAATATAAACAAATACTATGTGTCCCTAGAAACAGGAGAACTTTTTTTCCAAAGTAGTGTATCGAACCTAAAAAATTAGACTTTTGAGCAAAGGGAGAACTATATAGATATGTGACTTACTATAAGATAAATTAATACAGCAAATATATACTCATTTCTGAATAATGAGGCATCTTAACAGACTACACTACAAGAAGATACATGTCACATTCCCCTCAACCATAGTGCAAATTCCTTCACAAGAACAATTTCATACAATCCTAACTGTATGGAAAGACAGAAGAATTATTATAGCAGATATCTGCTTTGGTAACTAAGAGGTTGTACTCAGGACACTTATCACACAATCTCCCTGCTCAAGCAGGGTCATCCTAGAGCACATTGTACAAGACTGTGCAATACCTCTTTGGGCAACCTGTTCCAGTGCTTGGTCACAGACATAGTAAAGTTCTTCCTCATATGCAGGTAGAATTTTCTATGCATCAATTTCTGCCCATTGCCTCTTGTCCTATTGCTTGGCATCACCGAGCAGAGCCTGGCTCCATCCTCTCAACACCCTTCCTTCAGATACTTACAAACATTGATGAGGTCCCTCTCAACATCTCTTCTCAAGGCTGAACAGGCCTAACTCCCTCAGCCTTTTCTCACCAGAGAGATGTTCCAGTCCCTTAATCATCTTTGTTGCCCTCTGCTGGACCCATTCCAGGAGCTCCATGGCTCTTGTACTGAGGAGCCCAGAACTGGACACAGAAATCCAGATGTAGCCTCCCAAGGGCTAATTAGAAGGGCAGGATCACCTCCCTCAACCTGCTGGGAATGCCCTTCCTAATGCACCCCAGGATACCATTTGCCTTCTTGGCCCACAGCTTGCTGTCCACCAGGACCCCCAGGTCCTTCTCCGCAGAGGTGCTTTACAGCAGATGGGTCTCCAGCCTGTGCATGGAGTTATTCCTCACCAGATGCACGCCCTGTGCACGGGGTTATTCTTCACCAGGTGCAAGATCCTGCATTTGCCTTTATGGAATTTCACACGGTTTCTGTCTGCCCATCTCTCCAACCTGTCAAGTTCCTTCTGAAGGGCTGCACTCTGACGTATCGGCCACTCCCCTCAGCTTTGTGCCACCAGCAGGTTTTCTGAGGAGTCATCTGCCAGTTCATCCAAGTCATTGATGAATAAGCCAAACAATACTGGGCCCAGTATGCACCCGTGCAGGACACCACTAGTGACAGGTCTCTAACTGTGCCACTGATCGCATTTTCTGGGATCTGTTCAGCACCTCACTGTCCACTCATCCACTCCACACTTCCAGAGTTTGCCCTAAGAGGCTATTGTGAGAAAGTGTTGAAAGCCTTGCTGAAGTAGAGGAAATGGAAAAAAAAATATAGAACTTAATCACATTTCAGTCTCTCCTTTAAAAAAAATGAAAGCATTAACAAGGAGAACAATCAGTTGTCACGGATGCATCCATCAAGCTTCTCATAAAAGTCTGAACTGATAACCTACAACCCACAAAGAAAAACTTAAATGGCTGCAAACACTGCCTTTATGTTCCAAAAAGGAGCATTTCAGATAGCTACACAAAGAACAGAAACTATCAGTTGGTTTTCTGACGGGGTTTCTCTGTGGGACGCATTCTCTTTATAGCCTTTCATCAAACACCATTGATGCTGGAAACATTTTGGTATCTCTGACACCTCAGAGCCCACAAAGGATCTCTACACAGTTAGAGTCTGGATCAATCAAGCTTTTACAAACTACCTATTCTGCGACAGAGAATTTTTTTAAGCAA